TGCTGAAGCATGAAAACACCAGATAAATTAAAAATATGATTTAAAAAACACTATGGATGCAAAGAAATCTCAATGAACTAAACTCTAGAGAAGGTCAAGCCCTTCTTAAGTGAGCAGAGATTGGCAGCCACTTCGTCCCTGGAGGGCACTGCCTAGTCTGGGTATGGGTGGCAGGAGAGCTGACCTACCTGAAATAAGGCAAACCCAGCCAAATCTGTATTGATTGTGTAGGCTGGTAGGAGGTTGAATCTAGAAGGGCCCCAAATGCAAAACCAATTCTCTTTATACGCTAAACCTCCCCCACGGGGACTTCTGTTGAGTTAGAAGCAGCTGTGGGCAGGGCTGCAAAGCAGAGAGTGATCTTGGTGGTATTGCAGTAGTTAGCTCCCAATGCATAGGTGAAGAAAGTGGGTTGATCTTATCCGAATATTACTTGAAACCAGAAAGCTGAAATTTAAAAACGCTGCAACATATCCCTTATTAACTCCTCATTGTAAGTCCCTGCTTCACAAAGGGCTACATTCTCAGAGGAAAAAATGTCATCTACCTTAGTCTCTACTGTTCATTTGTACACCAGGTCTGGCATAAAACAAAAAAAAATTTCAAGATATCAAGAAGCAGTAGAATGAGTCCCATAATCAAGAGAAACAATAGTCATTAGAAGTAGATCCAACTAAGACCCAGGGTTAGAACAAGCAAACAAAGACTCTAAAATAACTATTTAACCCACATTACAAGAAATATAAAGGTAGTTCTTTAGGCTGAAGGGAAATGATGACAGATGGAAGCCTGGGTCTGAAGGAGGAAATGAAAAGTACCCGAAATGGTCAATATATCGTCAATACAAAATGCTTTAAAGTTTTCTTAAAAAGCCTCCTGACTGTTTAAAGCCAAAATAATAACAAAGTGTTGGAGATTAAAACATACATAGAAGTAAATTAAATGATAATGATAGAACAAAAGATTGGAAAGGAAATTAGAATTAAATTATTGCACATATAAAAATATATAAAATTTGCATTTTACTTGAAGTGATATTATAGTAATTCAAGGTAGATGGCAGTTTGTTTAAGACGAGTATTATAATCCCTAGAACAACTACTGAAAAGATAAAACAAGGAGATGTGGCTAAAAAGTCGGTAGAAGAGCTAAAATGGAAACCAAAGAATAATTGAATAATCCAAAAAAAGTTATGAAGGACAAAGGAGCATGATATAGATAGGATCAATGGAAAATAATAATTGAGATGGTAGATTAAATCTCTGTAAATGGATGAAAAACACACTAATTAAATGATACGTTAATTCTTATCAGAATGGATAAAAAACATGACCCGCCTATATACTGTGTATAAGAGACGTGTTTAAATATTAGCCCACGCATACTGAGAGGAAAAAAATGGAAAAAGATATATCATGCAAACATCATGAGGAAGCTTATAGTAGTATAGCTACATTCCTATCAGACAAAGTACATGGCAAGACAAAAAAAATTGCAAAAAAATAAAACAAGTCATCAGAAAGATACAACAATCCTAAACGTTAATGCATTTACAGCATAGCTTCAACAACGGAAGACGAAAACTGACAGAACTGAGAAATAAATCCACAGTCATAAGTTGAAGATTTTTAACATTCTCCCTCATACTAATTGATAAGAAAAGCAGAAAAAAAAATCAGTATGTTTACAGAATATGAGAACAGCATATTAACCAACTCAACTCTTAATTGATATTTAAAGAATGTTAATTCCTTCATTGCATAAGAGACATTCTTTTCAAGTGCATATGGTACATTTAACCAAAATAAGCCATATGTTGGGCCAGAAGACTAGGCATAGTGTCTGTTACACAGATGGCCAGGGCTTAACGGATGTTCATTGAAATGAACTCAATTCTGCTAAATTGTTAAGGAACAGTTCAATGGGTGTCTAGATTATTTGTCATCTGTAGTCCCCTAGGGATGTGAATAAACTGTTCTGCAGTGACACACCGCATTCTGTGAATCAGGATGCCTTTCTCCAGGTATCATACTTTGCTCATGCTCTCATTTCCCTGCCCTAGTCTCTGATCTCATTATTGGGGAGATCCAAGTGTCGGATTTGCTGAATCCTGGCTGTGACCTTGACTTACATATATACCATAAGTTTTAGTTGACTTCAAACTCTGTCTTCGTTTTAAGGGCTTAGGGCTAATAAAAGCTGTGGTACCTAGTATCTCAGAATTTAGTACTGGGCTAGGAAAATTAAAAATGTTATTACATGATATTATATATTACATCACATAATATCATGTAATAGTATATAAAACATATTATTATTACAAAATAATAACAATCATCGCCATTTGCTGAGCATAGCTATTGTGCCAGGCACAGGACTAGGTACTTTACACATATATTTATTCTTCATACAACTCTGAAATGTGGGTAATACTTCCATTTTACAGATGACAACTCATACAAACATGTATCAGAGAGATTAAGTAAGCAGCTCGAGGTCCCACAGCTCCAAGCGGCAGAACTGACATCCCAGCCCATGGAATTCCTGCTTCTAAATCACCCTGGGAAGTGATCTGTGGTACAGGGACAGGTGGGAAACACACACACACACACACACGCACACGCACACGCACACGCACACGCACACACACACACACACACACACACACGTAGGGACTGGAATGAAACCACAGCATGAGAGGACCCAGCCTGAGTCTCAGTTTTATATGGGGTCTCGGTTTCAGCCGCATGTTTGTAAGGGATCTAAGAGCCGGAACTTTGGAACCACAGAGACCTGGAGTCACAGAGCTCTGTCCTCGGTGGCTGTGTGACCCTGGAGAGGGCTTTAAGTCTCTGAGCACCTGTATTCTCATCTATAAAATGCGGACCATGATCCTGAGCCACGTCGGACCGTAGGAGTGGCGGTCAGCCCAGAGACACACACAGGGCAGTTACCCTACCACCTCCAGCTGAAACAGCAGCCCCCCGTTCCTTCAGTTAGCGTTAGCGCTTATGCTTACTTTTTTCTGTCCATTACTCATAACTACTTGAAATTATAATGTGTTTGCTGGGTATTAACTGTTTTCTCCATTAGAACAAAGCTGCATAGGTTAGGGAACTCATCCACCTAGTTTATTGCTGAGACCCGCCCCCAGCCAGCAATAGGTGTTCCATAAATTACCTATGAATCTAGTGAAGGGCTTTTGTTATTGTTGTTGCTATTATTACTATTATCATCTCGGGGGTGTGCATGGGTTGGGTGGAGGTTCAACGGAGCCATGACGACCCCTCGAAAAGTCTGATTCTGCTCAAAAAAACAAACAAACCAACAAAAAAGCTGTCACCAAGTACAGTCTGGGATTCCAAAAATAAAAAGGTGTGTTCTGAAAGGTCATGATCTTTTATTATTTTTTTTGCACTCTGATAAAATCCAGTAAATTACTAAAAGGTTCTATCTGGCATCTAAAAAATCATGTAGCCTATCCCTATTACACGTGAGCATCTTTTACAATCTTAATAAAGTTTGGTATGGGAATTGGTTTGCCAGAAACGTGGCTGTCCAACTTCCCATCTTGCTTTTAAATGTAAGACACGCTGTATACGATTCTGAAACTAACCTGTGGCAAGACAACGCTTAAGGGACTTGAGATAAGTTTTGATATTTATTGCTCATCATATGGAGCAAACCCAGCTTTGTCTGATGGCCAGCTAAGGAAAATGTAGTTTCCGAATGAAAGGTTAGAAAAACAAACATACGGCTTCCAACTCCGGGAAATGTTCTAGAAACTGTGCCACGTAGGTCACGATGGATTGCTCGTCCGGCGTGTCGACCATGATGTCTGTTAAGAGAGACGCAGGCATTAGAAGGGCACACAAACACGCCATCCTTAAATAGGATCATGGGATGCTCGATGGTGAAGGAGTCCATGGACCATTGAGATTTTTTTCTCTTTATTTTACACTTGAGGAAATGTAGGCCCAGAGAGGGGAATCATTTGATTGAAGGCTCACAGCTGGCTGATGAATAGAGGAGCTGGGATATCGGGATGTAGAACCCAAACCCCTGATTCTCAAGATTGTTCATTATTCTGTCTTAGTCCCTCCACGGTTAGCAGCCAGCTAGCTCCCTGTCAGCTCCATTGGTGAGACTGTTGAACCAGGACCCTTATTCACTGCTGGAGAGAGTCCCAAACTGGCCTAATCCACGTGGAAAAGCAATTTAACAGAGATAGCCAAGTGCCTTAAAAAGGTGTGTCCTTTCCGACTCTGTCATTCCACTGATGGGACCTGGTCTCGAAGGCAATAACCCGAGAAGCACACTGATATTTCTTCAATAAGATGGTCAGTGCGGTGTTATATATAAACATGATTATTTCAGAAACAACCTCAGTGTCCACCAGTAGCAGAAGAGCTAACTAAATCTTGGTATGCCCACGAGATGGGCCATTCTGCAGCCAATAAAAATATCTAATGATGACATTACAGCAACATGCAAAATATCTATGTCATAATTATAACATTAAATCTTTAAAAAAGTAAGAGACAAAACTATACATACACCAAATGATCCCAAATGTAAAAAATTTGTAATTAGATGCACAGGAAAATACTGGAAAAATGATCTCCGTGGTAGGAATATAGGAGATATAAAAACGTCTTCATTGGATTTTTCTGGATTTTCCAAATTTTCTACCTGGACGGCATATATTACACACGTAATAAAAATTCTTAACCAGGAAGAAAGAGGGACCCCCACGCTACCTTCAGGTTCCAGCAGCCTGGGAATGTGAAGGGCGTCGTGTGCGATGCTGAAAGCCTTCTCCAGGTTCTCCCTCATGGAGTCCTGCAGGGCCTGCTTCATGTCCACCAGGCTGGGGTCAATGGCCTTGATGACAGCCAGGAAAGCCAGCCCGCTCCTCCAGCTGCCGGCGAAGTCCTGCACCGCCACGCCATACCTGAGGAAAAGCAGCAGAGGCGGCCACAGTGCCACTCGGTAACGATACTTGGTGACAAGGACGTCTGTGGGGAGCAGCCTCGCGGGCCTCTGAGCGGGGCCAGGGCTGCTGACCTCGCAGGGGGCGGACACCCTGGGCCCTGAGACCGAGGAAAGCTACACTGAACCGCCATATTTCCATTTCTGGACAGACAGAAGAGGAAGGTATGCATTGTACAAGGAGGCAAAATAGGACCCTGTCTTCCCTCATTCCCAGATATAGAAAGGAGCAATTTTTCACACTGTTCGTCTTATCAGTGATACTCAGAACATAGCAAACAAGGATGTGCCGTGCAATGCAATGGAGCCAGGAAGACCTGGGTTCGCACCCGGCTGCCACTCTGGACTCTGGCCCTGTGGCCTTGGGCAAGTCACGCACCCCTCTATGCCTCAAACTCCTCAACGACACAACAGGGATCCTCGTGCTGGGACCTCTCGGCGGCTGTTATGGAGAAGTATTAGGTTGAACCCAGGAGAACGACTAATGTCCAACGTAGACAGCGCTGACGCTGGCGTAGGGCTAGTAATTGAGCTGCAGAACTGATCCGGATCTCACCAGTTTCATTTTCACGGGGTGGGAGGGTGTATGGTACCGGGATGTTTTATCACAAGTACAGAATCCTGTAGCCACCATCACAACAGACAACAGAACTGTTGCAGCACCCCAAAGACACCTCCTCTTCTTTGGTGACCCTCCCTCCCGGCAACGAGCTCCCTTTTGGTCGATTTCTCTTAAATGCATGATGACCCTTCAGGTTAATCGATTCTATCGGGCTCCACCCCTCAGTCAAAACTCCAAAGATCCGGCCTCTCTTCCCTCTTTCATTCTCATATACCAGGGAGAAGGGATCTGATTTTTCCTAAGTGCTTTTCAGGCGCTGGTACCGTGCCAGGCACTTTTGCGGGGTTTATATCATTGCATCCCGACCATCCCGTAAGGCAGAGAATGGTAAGTTATGTGGCCGGCGGGGAAAGTGAGTCCCTAGGACCTCACCCAGTCTGTACGTGGCAGAGCTGAGGTGGCCCTGAGTTTGTGTGGCTCTTACCACCGACGGCCTGGCTTTCTACCCAGGGGCTGTCGGCCACTGCCGGTAAGGGGCCCGGGACCAAATGCTGAAAGGCCTCGCCTGCTGGCACAGGCTCAAACAGGCGGCCAGGAACTTCGCTGCAGCTCAACCATCTGCTAGGGAAAGGCCTGACTCTGATATGTTACAGCCTTTATTATTATTCGTTTTTAAGTAGGTACAGGCTAAAAGAAACCCTGACCCTTCATGATAAATATGTATATGTTACTAGCATCCGAGAGACAACCGCGCTGGGGGGTTCCACATGGTGGCAGCCCCTTCAATTTTTATTCAGATCCCCTCATTGGCTTTCTGCAAACCAAACATTCTGGGAACACAGTTTTCTATGCCCGAACACTGAAAAGTGTAGTGTCCCCTGTCCTGATAGTCTACGCGAAGTGACAGGCACATAACCGGCAAGTGACTCAACAAGTGTTAAGGCCCCTTTCCTTCGCCTCCTCCCTCCTCCTGGCGACGGGATGGGGCTGCGGGGAGAGGGCGCTGTGCCTTACTTCCTCGTTCTCCTCTGCACCCACGCCAGCAGGGTCCTGATGGCCCTCCTCTGGTCTTTCACAGACACTGCCGCGCTCGGCTCTGCGGTGGGCGTTGGGGGGAAGGAGGAGTCTGAGTCTGTGCCTCCCGAGCCGGGTGACAGGCTGGAAGACGGAGAGTTTCTGCTGAGGTTGCCCGTGAGCTCCTTAATCTGGAAAACAAAACAAAACGGCATTTCAGATCCCAGAGGCAGACCCATCTGACCCACATGGACCGCGACTGGACGGACCAACTCATGTAGAATTGGTTCTGTAGATAGGGAGAATCCGCTTTTCCATGGCTGTGTGTCAGGGGACCAGGCAGTGCCCACGATGGCCTGACTGCTTTATGCGGCTTGACACTTCGCAGGGAAGTTCATCTCTTCCAGGAGTCTCTCCAGCTCTGGCCAGACGAGGTCTTCAGGACCCGATCGCACCTACCCTTCCCCTCTCCATATCTCTCCCAGAATGCATCGCACTGTTCAAGCCCCACTGCCTACGCTCATCCTGGTCCTGCTGCCCAGATGTCACACCCTTCCATCGCTGAATTCCTGGCTACTCAAAATGTAGCTCCTCTCATGGGGCACTTGTGAGAAATGCAGAAGCCCAGGCCCCGCCCCAGACCTACTGGAATCAGAATCTGCATTTTAGTACCACCCCAGGCGATTCAGATGCACGGTCAAGTCCGAGAAGCACTGCTGTAGTGCGCTCCTACTCATCCTTCAAAACCCAGCTCTGGTGTCACTTCCTACAGGAAGTTCTCCAAACTCCCCTCATGCCCAGAGGGAGCTGCCTTCTTGGTGCTGTTACGACACTCTGCTCACACCTGGATCATGGCCTGTGCCAGAGTTCTGTAACGTGGGACTGACTGGTCTGTGACCCAGAGAGTCACGAGCACAGGCCTTGGTGTGGCCAGAACCTGGCACAGGGGAGAAACTCAGCAGACATTTGCTAAATGAATGAATGAAGATTTGGGGTGGATTTCAGGCCTTGACTTTGTACACATTTCCAGCATCTATCAGGGACTTTAATGATAAACATCAGCGACTGAAGCCTGTCTGTAACCGTCCAGTCGACCAAGGGCTTTCCCACATGGCATCTCTTGGTGCTCACTGCACATTCTGCACAGATGTAGGAGCTGAGGCTCAGAGAGCCTTTGGTTTCTTAAGTTCAAGGCTCCCATAGGACTGGATCTGCTGTGTCTGAACCTCGTTTGTGCTCATTCTTCTCTGAAACACAAGCACTGAGCCCTAAACCCTGGCAGATCATGTCCACAAAGGCCATTTTCACTCTTGGCAATGAAATAATGAGCCGCAATGTTCTATTTCGAAAGAAGGGGGTTTTAGAGGATGAATGTCATTCAGCTCACTCCCTCTTATTCAAGGAAAACAACTGAAAATAAAAATGCAATTTTAAATGCCACCTTCATACGCCAGCCACAGATCCCATCCTTCCTCTGTAAAATTTGTATTTCTAAATAGAGGCTGAAGTCGCTAAGGATGGAAAAAGAAGGTCTCACCTGTCACATATGCCTCTTCCCAGAGCTATCTTTTGTACAAGCTTTTCAATCGTCTCTAGAGAACATGAGTCGTTTTAGGAAAGTAACTCTACCACGTTCAATTTTTCGTGGAAGTATTTCCCCAGTTCTGGTGACACTTTAGAATAAAATAATTTTTCCAAGTAAACATTGAACTCTTTAAGTCCCGAGAGGATGGATAGACTCTTCTGGAGAATAGAGCTCCCATCATGTTTTAAATCACAGAGACTCAAATCTCTAGCATCCGGAGTCCTCACGTTTTTTTTTCACAAAACAGAAAAGTCAGAATCGGTCAGAAACTAAATCTCACTGTTTCCCTCGATCTGGCCCCAGTCTGTTCTGCTGGCCCTAAGCAGATGCCAGGAGACCGTTACCGTGTCACAGAAAGGAAGTGATTTTACCTGGAAAAAGAGGATTATGTTCCATATCAGCCCAAGAACCAAGGAGGGGTTGCCATCTGCTATTTCCGCGGCGTCGATGCTAACCAGCTTCACCTGCAGAGATGCAATTTACGAGCTTAATGAGGGTAGTCGAGTAGGTTGGAACTTGTTTCTGATGCCCTCATGGGCCTGTTCCTCTTTCTTACCTGTGCCGGCCAGTGTTGCCAAAGGCCACCTCTTGGGGGCTCTTAGTATGCAAAAGTGTTTTTAATAAGCACATACATAGCACCTACCACACAGACACCGGGCTGAGCTCCCTACAAGTACTAACTCAGTCTGTGCTCACAACAATCCACAGTGTCAGTACTTCTAGCAGGTGTATAATTCAGGTGAGGACGTGCCAGAGGAGTCAAAGGTAACATGACCAGAGTGACACACTAGTCGGGTCTTAGGCGTTCTTTTCCAAAGACAGGTTATACGTGCCTACCAGATTGGTCTGCACGCTGCACTAACATCACCGAACCTGCAGATGTAACACCTCTTTGGACAAACACAGAGCACCGATGTCTGGACCGTGATGAGAAAGATAATTATCCATTGCCGATAAGAAATGCCATGAAGGGAGAAGGCTGATACCCAGAGTTTCTGCCTCATTACAAAATATCCCACTGATTGGTTAAAATGTGCCTATTTGAGAAACCTCCTTAGGAGATTATCTGCTTATTTAACTAGGTTCTGACCACAGGATGATGCTCTGAGCAAATCCCTAAGGCACTAGCTCTCAAAGTGTGGTCCCTGGATTGATCTCCTGGGAACTCTTTAGAAAGGCGAATTCTCCCCCAGACCTACTACATCAGCAACTCTGGGAGTGGGGCCATAATCTGCATTTTAAGGAGCACTCAGGTTTGAGGACCATTGCCCTAAGTCATTTTATTCTGCAAACAAAATCTGAGCACAGAGATCTGGGGTCTGCAAACTTCTATAAAGGGACAGAGAGTAAATATTTAAGACTTTGCAGGCCACAGCTGTCTGAGCCACATTTTCTTCTTCTTTGTTCTTTACGACCATTTACAAATATAAAATCCATTCTTCAGGGAGGAGAGGAGAAACACAGTTAGTTACAGTAAGCTTTCAAATTCACCCTGCAGAATCGGGCAGGGAGACTTGAGAAAGAAAACTGCAGGCCTCACATGAACACCCGCCTCTCCCCCGCCTCTCCCACTCCGTCAGGGCTTTTAAAAATGTTCGACGCTGGTCTCTGATCCTATCGGTTCTTTGGGGGTTTCTGACAACAGAAATCAGCAGAGCCTGGGCTTTCCTAATGGAATGAGAGAGCGACAGGAGTTCCCTGGCTCGGAGTGTTTTGCAGGCTGATGCCAAGAGCATAATTCAGACAGCAGAGCTCATCGCAGGCAGGCTGGAGCCAGGAAGGAAGCTGTCAATACTGTGAATGACATGGCCAATCAAATTCAGGTCCAATATTCTGTCCACGTTCATCATAGCCACATGTCCCACTGATGAATCACCTGTGACGCGTGCCCTGCTGGCCTCTGCTCTGACAGCCCCTCTGTCACTGTAGCTCACTAGACACATCCCAGCGCGGGGAATTGGAGCGGTTAGCCAAGCCGATCACCCCTGGAGGGGAAGCCCAGCACAGCTCCCTGAGCTGAGGTTCCCGGAAAGCGTCCCGAAGTGAGAGAATATGACAGAGCTGCCTTGTAGATGCAATGAGCAGGATGCTGCACTGTCCCGGGAGAGGAGAGGGACAGAGCACCTGGCTGAGGGAAGGCGGTGACTGCAGGTGCTCCTGGGCGCCAGGGAGCAGGTATTCCCAAAGACCCTGCCTTGGGTGCCCAGCCACTGTGGGGTTCTCCACGGCGAACAGACAATGAAACAGCCAGACATCAGCCAGAAGCTTCGGGGACACTGTTCTCCTCCTCCTCTTGCTCCTAACTCAGTTGTTTTTGTCACACTGATGGCGAGTGGACCAAGTGACTTAGGGGAGTGGTTCCTTCTCCCCCTCTGGCTGCCACATCGAGCATGGGGCAGTGATAATGGTCATCACAGTAATATCTGTGGAGCCTGACTTCCTGCCTAGTGGTTTTCACAGGTTAGTTCATTTAATGCTCACGACATATCCATTTCACAGAAGAGGAAGCTGAGGCTCAGAGGTGGGAGGTCACAGCATTGGTCCTGTGGGGTAGCCAGTCTCTGCAGATGGAGGGAACGCTATGCTGGGACGCGCATGGCCGGCCCTACCTAACAGCACCTGAATCCTGGAGCAAACGAGACCTGGACTGCTGCCCCTCCTGGCACCTGCTTGGCAGTGATCACCTAGTTCTGGGCACTTCTTTGGCTCAGCACAGCAACTGTGGTCCATCCACCCTCGAACTGGGACAGAGGACATGAAGGGACCAGCAGGGAGTGGGACAGAGACTGCATCTGAAACTCCTGTTTCCCATTTAAAGCATACAATTCAGTGGTTTTTAGTGTATTCACAGATATGCACAAGCGTCACCTCAGTCAATGTTAGAACTTTTTTATTACTTCACAAAGAGACGCCAGACTCTGTAGCTATCACTCCCCCCGACCCCCCACCTCCACAACCCTAAGCCACCACTAATCTATTGTCAGGCTCTAGAGATCTCCTCGTCCTGGACATCTCACAGGAAAAGAACCATAGAATAAATGGTCCCTCGTGTTGGCATCTCTGACAATGTAGGCGAGGCTTATCGTGTTGTAGGCTGCACTTCCTCCTTTTTCATGGCTGAATAACATTCCATTTTGTAAACGTACTGCATGCGGATTATCCATCTGGGTGGCTTCTACCCTTTGGCTGTTACAAACGACACTGCTAGGAACCATTTTATCCTTTTTGGCCACCGCCATCTGAAGTCCTTCCTACGTGTGGAGCTTCCCCCGCATATGGGAGGCAGAGCCCAGCTCCCTCTTCAAAACCCCAAAGTGCTCCCCGCCCGGCCCCCGCAGCTGAGACGTGGGCGGAGACCCAGGCCTGGCAGCCCAGACCATTGAATCTAAACGGGTGATACTGAGTTCATTCCAGGGGCTGTGGGTGTGGACCTCAGAGGCAGTGGTGACAGTGTAGTGGGGACAGTGTAGTGGTGGCTATGCCCACATGGGTCCTTGGATTAGGAGTGTGGGGTGCTCTGTGGTGATCCTGGCATCTCTGGGCTCCAACCCCGATTCCCAGCTTTTAAGTCACCCTGTGTGCTACTCAGCATCCTTTTAACAGATCCTTTTTCTGCTTAAATCGGCCAATCTCAGCTTCTGTTGCTTACCACCAAGACCCCCCAATGAATCGCATTTTACAGCAAAGTTTTACAGTACTTGCCGACGCGCCAGGCAAGCTGCCGCGTATTCACCCAGACTGACTGGTGAAGCTTAACGCAAGGGGCGAGCTGGACATCTCACCCCTCTGGGGCCACCCATTCCTATTTCTGAAGGACATGAAGCAGAGTTCAAAACACAGAAAAAGCTGATTTAAGCCTAGAAAGTGATGGCAAAGAGTACTTTTCCCTGACTCATTTAACCGCCTTCTCTGCTTTGCTTCTCCCATATTCTGAGTTCGAAGAGAAAGTCTCACACTCTGACTCGTCAGATCCTAAGATCTGACAGCCAGCCAACTGCCCTGCCTTTCTCACGACTGGGCGTCCACTGGAGTTTTTTGTCCTGATGGAGACGGAAGGTGGGACAGCTGTGCTACCAACCGATGGATTAGCTGAGCGACTTGCGTTAAGTTTAAACTTAGTTTAATTTGACCATTTTAGCAGGGTCCTCTTCACACGCTTGTCTTGTGGCCAGCACTCAACTTCAAAGGACACCTTTTTCGTCACAGGAGAGGCCTGTGTGAACGAGATGTGTGCTTCAAATACTTACATTGCTATCTTCCAAAAACTTGAGTGCTTTCGCTATGTTGTTCAACCGAAAAATACGGTGGGACGAGGATTTGTACTCATGCAGCTGTGACATAAAACAGAGCAAAACAAGAAGTTAACCCGACACAGGCCCTCAGACTCCCCGGGGTGCCGCGGGCTGGCTTATCTTCTTCTTCTCCATTTTCACATTAATCTCAAGAGAAAGGGGTTCACAGCTGAAACCCACCCCTTATTTACGGTTCCCGGGACTTCGCTCAGTTGAGCTGGTGAACGGGGGACCCAGGGGTTAAACAAGGGACAGATTTGTCAGGTTTTTCTCTCTGACCCAGCTCCTGGCGTTTGATAGTCCTCCCTCCCCCAGAGCCCTCAGTGACATGTTCTCCTCGCTGTGCCGATGGTTTCTGTCAGGGCAGGGAGCCTCGGCTGGGAGCATCACCGCACAGCTGCTAAATCATCTGTCAGGGCCCTCCCTGGGGCAGCAGACGCTCCTGCTGTGCAAAAGCTCTGTGAACAGTCAGCCCAGAAAGAGAGAGAGAGATGGACAGACACAGACAGGCAGAGAGACAGACACGGAGAGGGATAGAGATATTAAAACAGACAGAGGAAGAGAGAGACAGACAGAGAGACAGAGAGAGACAAAGAGAGAGATAGAAATACTAAAACAGACAGAGGAAGAGAGAGAGACCAGAGATATTAAAACAGACAGAGGAAGAGAGAGAGACAGAGAGACAGAGAGAGACAAAGAGAGAGACAGAAATACTAAAACAGACAGAGGAAGAGAGAGAGACAGACAGACAGAGAGACAGACCCAGAGAGGGACAGAGATATTAAGACAGACAGAGAGACAGACAGACAGACAAAGAGAGGGCAGAGCGGGATGTGCTTGCAGAAGCTAAACCCTGACACTAGCGGCTGTACACACTGGGGGCACCATCGGAATGAACATCCTGCACTGAAGCTCATGGTACCCCTCTGGGTGGGTGGTTTACATCACACGGTGAACCAGTGGGTGTCAGTCCCACCTGGTGTGAGCTGCTGGCCAAGCTCATGGGTCACTCAGGCAAGTCGGACACTGCCTCCAGAGCAGGCTTTCTCAACAGTGACAGGGCTGGCATTTTGGCCAGGTCACTGCACCGCCCAGGGGACATTTGGTAATGTCTAGAGATATGTTTGGGTGTCACACCTGGGGGTACTACTGGCATCCAGTGGGTAGAGACCAAGGACGCCGTTAAACGTCCTGCAGTGCACAGGACAGCCCTCACCACAAAAAACTACCCGACCCGAAATGTCAACAGTGCCGAGGCTGAGAAGCCCTGCTCTGCGGGAGGACAAGCTGAGCACCACAGACACACGCATGTGACGAGGTTTGGCCAAGATCCAAGTGAAACGAACCTCGAGATCAACTGGTTCAATTCGATTTCCATCATACTTATAAGAAGTTTCTAGAAGCCACCAGAGTTCTAGTTTAGCCTCAGGAGGGATGATAGAATGTGGCTGTGCAGTGCTTTCTCCCGCACCTTCCCGATTCTTAGCTACCTTCTGGTTGATATAATGGCCGGCCCGCTAAACTCGAATGTTCTAGTTGCCACCTTTAGCCTAACAGACTCACAGAAAACACTGCTCATGGATCCATTTACTTCCTAGAGCATATTTTCTAAAACAAACAAAAAACAAAAAACAAAAAAAAACTGCTTAGTTACACATGATTATATCAGTTTCAGCCACTGAGAAAGGAATGTCACCCTTCAAAGTTTCTCGTCACAGGACTTACGCACAGCCAGGTATGTACACACACACATAGCTCCATATTGAAAGGAAGCCATCAGCACGGTTTTTCTCTGTGTTTGACTTCTTCCTGACCCTTCTGTGATGTACGTACCAGATTCTTCCCCGACAGGACTTCTAACAGAGCCATTAGGATTTTGCCATCTTGTATATCGATGAATAAATCATTAACTTCTAGAGGCGGGTTGCACTGTGGAAGGAGAAAGAAACCAGCTGATTAGCAACCAGCCGGTCAGCGACCTGCGTAACCTACAGAACCACGTCAGAGCTGCAGGTGTCACAGCAAGGTTCATCCAGGGAGGGTGCAAGCCCAACGACCCCTGTGGGTGATGCCCAGGCAGCGGGTGCACTGGGGAGCTGTGGAGGACATAGTGTCCTAGGCCCCGTCGAACAAATGACCCTTCTCACCTGAGATCTCAGATCCCAGAACCACATTACATCCGTGTGTCTCCTTGAGGGCAGAAAGAAACAGCGTGCCTTGGTTGCAGCCTTCCATAGGCTAAAATCAGTCTAGAAGTAGGGCTCACTGGTGCAAGCCCTTCGCGTCAGACTTGGGGACACTGAGGCTCAAAGAGGCTGGGTGACAAGCTCAGTGTTTGGATGAGTCGGCTCTTTGGTACAGTCCCATGTCTCCAACAGGACACACTGGCTGACCACAAGCACAGCGTGGATTCACACCGCGATGGCGTGACCCTGGGCCAGTTACCCCTGGGCCTGGGTCCAGGGGTCAGCAGGGCTCCCCCACTGCAACACTGCTCAGTCTCTAGGTGTGCACCTTCCTGAGGTGCCAGCTGTCGCTTCGTCAACATTTAGTCCAACTGTGGAGAAGAGGCACCCTTGGCAGAGGAAGCCGGAAAGGTGACCCGTCTGTGCAAGTTGGCTGGGAGAGAACAGAGTGGGATGGGCGCACGGCTGGCCTGCCGAATGCTGGGTGGTGGGCTGAGGGGGAGAGAATCTTTTCTTCCACCTCCAAGATTGTAGATCTATCAGGAACTCAAATCAGAGGCTGACTTACATGTATATGTTGATATATATTTATATGTTTAAGTACGAATTAATACAGATTCATTACAATAGCTCACACTAGTTAAAATCGTACAAAAAAGTGAATCAATGGAATGTTACTGCCTCTTTTCCCCCAAAAGTCCACGCTTCCTGAGATAAACTACCGATATTTCAAGATGCACTTTTCACCTGCGCCACTGAGAAGCAAAGGGGTTAGACACACTTCAGTTCAGATCCAGGCTCTACTCTCAACAGACTTGGCCTTGGGCATTTTCCTTAACCTCCCTGAGTTTGCGTGTCCTTGGCTCTAAGGTCAGGTTAGGAATCTGATCCACCTCAGAAGATGGGAGCTAAACTGAATTGAGATCATGCAGGTAAAGTACCTGGCGTAGCATCTGCCTTCCCAGATTAATGCCACCAGTTAAGCCAGTTTACTATTAAGTGGATTCTTTCCCGCAGAGCCTTAGGGTGCCCTCTGGAGTTGGGCATTTCATCCAGGGGGTGTATGCCTCATGGCTGTAAAGCTGAAAGGGAGGTGTCTTGAGCTGGTGGCTCTCCACGGGGGATGGCCCCCGAAGCGTCCTCTCTCCGCCTCACTTCCTGCTCTTCCTGGGCTCCCTGGGTCAGTAAATGGCACCCTCAGCCCCAATCCACCCAGGTTCTTTCCACTCCCTGGGGAAAAGGCAACTTTCCGCCCAGGACCTGGATGGGAAGAGCTGGAAGCACCCCAGGTTTCCTCTCTGAACCTGGCCCTGGAGAGCTCAGCCGCCTAGGGGGGCTGACACTGGGCCACGTCCACCAAGTTTGGCTGGACGTGGCCTGGAGCCCACGGGGTCAGCTGCAACTCATCAGTCAGAGGCTCCAGCGCAGGGACCTGCAAACTGGGCTTCGCAGACCCCTGGGCTTCAGCAGAGCAGCTTCAGGGTGGCCCATGGGGCCGAGGGAAGTCAGATAAAGGGGTGATCCACTGAACCTCCTTCGTCACTGAGGCCTTTGTTTAGGGTTCCAGGTAAGACTTTGCCTGAAGAAAGGTTTCTATGGACTAAAGCTTGATAATAAGTCCTTTCGTGCAATATGGATGTAGGGGAATGGGGTCTAGAAATGTGGGTTTTAAATAGGCCCCACCCCAGCACGAATTCTGTTTACCTTTTGGGATAGGGGCCTGGGGTAACAGCAAAACAGTTAGGCTGAGTGCTCTTGGCTCCTGCGTACAATGAAAGGGGATGTTCACAGAGGAGGCAGAATTAATAGCGGGAGTGGGGGCGGCAGAGCTAGCCGGGGACCCAGGTAAGGAGAGCCTGGTGGGGCCGAGGCCCAGGCACTCTTTTTCTCGGAGAAGGGCCCCCTCCCGGGACAGCCTCAGAAGGCCCATGTTTTCTTTCTTTAGTGAGAAAGACGGCATTTCCTTAGCTCTTGCACGAGCCTCCCTGAGCCCCGGAGAGTCAAAATACAGGACGATCCTACCCACAGGTGCGCAGAAAAGGGCTCTGCTTCAAGGGCCACAGGGACCGACTCTGAACCAAAAGGCAAATTGTATTTTCTTTGCCAAGTCCCACAGCTCCTGGGGCACATTCCAGGCCGAGCACGAGGGCATCAGGTTACGGATGGAGACTCTCATCCCTGCTTAATGCAGGGGCAGGAGGCAGAAATCATGAGACCCGAACAAAACACCCCGACAGAGGGACCAACAGAACTTCCAGTCGCCAGCCCCGACCGCGGCCAAGCCTGCCGTTGGACTTGAACCTGGAGCACTGTTTCCACTGACAGTGTCTGTTGCAGCGGCGGCACTTGGGGCTGGGGGTGGGGGAGTGGGGGCCTTGGCCACACTCCATCCTGCGAGATGGCAGGAGGAGAAATTGAAACCGCTCCAGTGAAAACACTCCAGGGGCCCCAGACCGTTCCGTGGGCTTCATGAGACTGGTATGGCCGAGTAAACAGCCCCCCCAGGGCTTTCTTCATGATGTAACTCCTTCGGTAAATTAAGGAATTCTTCCAGAAGCCAGAGCCTCAGTAAATATTTCTGACAGCCTTCAAATTGCAGTTAAGCCCGATTCCCGGAGGAGTTCCAGGGTTTCCTTTACATGAAAGGTTGTTCTTGAAAGTCTCGAGGTTGGAAACGTGGCCGTTAATTTTGCCCCGTTTATTAGGCATCAGATTCAGGTGCTGTCTGATTTATCTGCAGAGTGGGTGCTACCCACCCACCTGCCCGGCAGAAGGAGCCCGGAGCCCGGAGCCCGGAGCCTGGCCAAGGAGAAAAGCCTGAGGTGATAAATGCTGACAGAGGCCGAGGAGAAAAGCCTGAGGTGATAAATGCTGACAGAGGCTCATTTGGGGAGGTGGGCGAGTGTGCGGGTATTTGCTGTATTACCCTCTCTATTCCTGGTATTTATTTTTTTAATTAAAAAAAAAAAACAAATGAAAGGAAGAAGGAAAGAAAGAAAGAAAGAAAGAGAGAGAGAAAGAAAGAAAGAAAGAAAGAAAGAAAGAAAGAAAGAAAGAAAGAAAGAAAGAAAAAAGAAAGGAAGGAAGGAAGGAAGGAAGGAAGGAAGGAAGGAAGGAAGGAAGGAAGGAAGGAAGGAAGGAAGACAGACAGAAAGACAGACAGAAAGACAGAGAGAAAGAAAGACGCCATGGCTATGCTCCGTCCACCAGGAGAGATTTCCAGATACCTTGACACACATCAGGCATTAATTTAGGAGTTCGGTGAACTCAGGTTTGGGAAACGGTTTTACTTGTTTTTTTCAGAAAAAACACTTCACTTTATGAGCCCTGCCGAAAATGCATCCCTAGTCAAAACAACTGGCAAATGATTTATAACACTTCATCCACGACGTGCAGTCTCTCCCCCGAGGGGTCGAGGAGCCTCCTGGGCCAAGTGTATCCTAACCCGTTCGCCCGTGGGGGACATAGGTGTGGGTGGCCGAGTTCTGCTGGACGTGCAGTCTCTCCCCCAGGGGTCGAGGAGCCTCCTGGGCCAAGCGTATCCTAACCCGTTCTACAGGTGGGGGACATAGGTGTGGGTGGCCGAGTTCTGCTCTGGAAATACCACAGGCCTAATGGTCAACTATGTGAATTCAAATGTCGGTCCAGAGCTCCCCTTCCTAAAAACCACATTTATTTTCTCTGCTTTTGAGTTGTTTCAATGATTTCCTCTAAGAACCTTCATTTGGGTTAACCATAAGGGCAGTCGATAGTGGCTCCTGTAACTTTTAAGAGGACAGGAGAAAACACACCTACACTAACTAAAGTGGGGCACTTGAATACCGCAAGGTCTAAAAAGAAATGAGAAGGCTGGCTGGGTCTATTTGGAGAACCACACAGTGGAATTTCAGAAGTGAGAATCGAAGCGAGTAAAATGAAATCTTGATAAGTCAGCTTTCTTATAAAGTGAAAAAGAATCTCCCCCCCAACCTGTAGCCCCAGGCAATGCAGAATGTTCCACTGCAGGTCAGGGGTTAACCTGGCGGGTAAGGAGGCCTGGGATGTCGCACTTGAGCCGTTCATCACTGGGCATCCCTGCATCCCTGCCCCTCTGCCGCTCATCCTTTGGTCCGCTACCCTGGAGGAGCTGGTTAGGCTGTTTTTGTTTCAGAGGGTGCTTGCCTGAGAAGCTTGCAGACAAAATGCAATTCAAAACTACCTGGCCAGAGAATATTAGAAAGAAAAAGGAGAAAAGAAGGGTCACGAAGTTAACTCTGCAGGAGAAGCCACAGAAAGAGCTTCCTTGTTGGTTGTGGGGTTGCAGGAAGCCATTAAGCCTATTTCCTTATTCACAACAGGAGGGGCCGGGTAATGACGTCATCATAGGGATTAAAGGAGGCATGTGATGCATTAAGCAGGATGCCCGGTGCACGAAAACAGGCCGGTAATGTTGCTGATCAATAGCATCATTATGTGATTCACAAGGGGATCTGGCTTTGTCGAAGGTGGCAAGGGTTCTTGCATAAATCAGTATAAATACCTACAAATGGCCGTTAATGAGAGCTGCCCCCACCCCCCTTCTGGAAGTCAAGATTCTCCCTGCCCCCTGCCCACAGAAGTGTTTGGGCTGTTCAATGATGAATGTCTTCGAACTTTTGTTCATCATTCCTGTTTAAAGACAGACTTCTCCATCCCCAACTAGACTGACGACCCCAAGGGGACATAACTGTGCCTTACTCACCTCTGTGTCTCCGGCACTGAGCTTGATACTGGCAGTGAGAAGGCACTCAATGGATGTTTAAACGAATGAATGAACACATAACCACAATAACAACGACGCCAGAAAATAGCCCGGCCCTTCCCCTCACTGCACGACCGCACTACACCCTCAGTTACGGAGGAGCCCAGCAGCTCCCAAAAACCCTCACGCCCTGCCTACCTTCTCCAGATGTAGATTTATCCACCGAGTGAAGGTCCTCTTCTGCACATTCTCCCTCTCAACTGAAAACAAAAAAAACACCATCAGCTGGGCGAAAAAGAAACACGCAAAATCCCGCTTGCCAAGGGGAATTCTGGAGATGGAGACAGAGCCACGGAGGGTCCCACGGGGGAACAGGAGAAGGGATGGCAAGGGGCTGCGTGGCACCTGGAATCCGTTTTCCCCACTCTCAAGCATCTGAAATAGATTAAATACCCACAAATTCAGGCACATCGAACACAATGTTGTACACACCTAACGTGAGCATTTGGGCATTTGACTCTCCAGCCTAAGAAAAGTCAAATGGAAAGATTTGCCAAGTAGAACCACAGGCGAAGGTGCTGCACACCTGGGGTCTCCGGAATGTGCCAGAACGTGGCAGAAAGGGTTTGACCAACTCTTGGGTCGGATTCAACCCTGTCATGTCCCAGCTTCCTGTCCTCGGGGCCAGTCCCTGTCCCCGTGTCTGATGTGCCCACTTCCAGGCTGCCACCAGATACCTGCCATCCTACACGTCAACTCAGCACAGGTCCTGGCACAATGGTTGCTCATTTTTGTCCCCTTGGCCGCTATTATTTTAAGAGTCAGGAGGCACTTGACACCCTCCGGGAAGGGAGAGATCTGTGGGTGTCTGCCACAAAGCCGCTGTGGCCCAGGACGTAAACCAGACGCGGACCCCTTCTTCCAGGGGACAGCGCTTCCCAAACAGCTTTCTCAGGAAAGATTTTTCCTTTTCAAGAGTATGGCCATCTACCCAGCACTAACTGCGTCTCGGACACTTTGTTTCCATTAATCTTTAAACCCGACAACACCGCCTGAGGAGTAGAAATTATTACTTTACAGATGAACAAAATGGGGCTCGAAGAGGTACCATGACTTGCCCAGGGCACCTGCCAGAGGGAGGCAGAGGTGGATGGACATCATCCTCGGGTCTGTCCGCCAACCCATCCCCCACCCCGCATCAGTGTCCTGGAAAGGGAACGTTTGGGTTTGAATCTTAGTTCTTCCAATTACGGCAAAGACACCTGCAGTAGAACTGATGATGAGTGAAAAACAGGCCCCGAGCACTCTGTGTGGCAGGTACCCATCTAGGCACGTTACCTGCATGCACTAATTTAATTCTCGCCGCCACCCTCGGATGGGAAACTGGGGCACCTGCCCGAGGTCACACAGTGCTGCGGTTATCGCTCCAATGTACAGACGGAGAAACTGAGGGCCGAACAGCGAGGAAGCAGTAAACTTCGGGCTTGGATTCTGTGCTTTTCCCGCTCCCTCCTGAGCTCTGCGCGTGAGCCGGCTTGGTGCCCTGGGGCCCGCAGGGAGCTTCCGTGATGGGTGGCGGTGCCAGCGCCGGGGCTGGGTGCTGGGGGGACCTGGCAGCAGCACCCCCAGCTCGAGCCGTAGCTACGCCTCTGAGAAAGAAATGTCGGTGCCAGATGACTCCCGAATTACCAAGTTCTGGATTTCAACATGTTGGAAGAACACATCACAGATGCTTAAAATCATTTCACATTTCTTTAGCAATAAGAAAATGAGAGGCAATTTATCTCCTGGGGGAGAAAAAAGGCTACAGTTTTCTGTAACGACTGTGGTTCTTTTTTCCTCTTAGCCTCATTATTGGGTAGATAGCGGTGCCCATAAATCAAATTTTAATATTGTGCCTTTCAATCTTTTTAATTGAAGAGCCAGCAGACAGTAATTACGCTTTATATGACTGCTTTTCTCTCATTTTCCTCCTTTTCTGTAAAGGAAGGTCACTGGCAAGTAGGCATAAGGATTAAATATCTAATTCCAGTAAATGGTTTTGTGGGTAGGGAGAGGAGGGAGAAAGGAAAGAAGTTGAGAGAAACGAGGTAGGGAGGGGGGCACTGGCTCAGGGCCATGAGTTACAGAGTCTCAGAGCTTTCCAGAAGACTGGAGAGCACCCTGCCCCAAGCCCCACTTGAGACCTTTCTGCCTCTGCAGCTTCTGCCATAGTTACGGCAAAAGTTTAGTCCCCATCCCTCCGCTGATGGCCGCGTTCCAGGTTTGTGGTGTTCCGAGCGGTCCAGCAACGAGCATCCTCGTACGAGCATCCCGGTACGCGGTTCTTTGTGCACAAGCGTACGCATCTATTTCTCACGCTTGACGACTACGAGGGGCACTGCTGGGTCTTGGTGGTAGGCACATGTAAAATTTTAATAGCCACTTCCAAATTGCCCTCCCAAAAGGCTGCCCCAGTTTATACTTTCACCCCCACTTGTCTTTAAACAAGTTTATGGGGATTGTAAAGTATTTACACACACATTCAAACACTCAGGCTGGTTTCTCCATATGGCTTCAGAGAGAGCAAAGTATGAAACAGAAGTGCATTCAGCGAAAGCCGGTGAGAACCTGAGTTAGGCTGTGGGTTTAACTGGGCGGAAAGGTGTAAATGAGGAACTGGGTGTCTCTTAGTCTATACATGCCTCATCCATCCACCCATCCATCATCCTCCCAGCTGATACATAGTCAGTGATTATTACATACCAGGAACTATGCCAGACCCTGTGGACAAAATCAGAGATAAAGAATTAAGCATCCACGGACTCTGCATGCCAAGAATTCACAGCCAGATAAGCGAAAACGTGGACATCACAAAGCACATATGCGAAGAGAAATGGATTAAATATTTCCGGGGCAGATGAGATGGGACAAGGTGACTTCAGACCCCATGAGAGTATCCTCCGAGGCCCTCTGAGGGTCCCCTGGGAGAAGTGGGACATGAAGGGGCTCTTGAAGGCAAGGACAACGTTCTAACCCTGCCCTGATTCAGAGCCAACATCGGAGAGGCTTCACTTCCATCCCAGCCACGGCCAGTGGGCGAATCTGAGCACAAATAAGCTTCAAAAGCATAGCTGAGCCGCAGGAGGGAAGGCGGTGACTGAAGTTACCGGGGGACCGTGAGACGAGATCACGAATAACAGACGAGTCCCAAACTAAAATCGGGTATGGACACCGTATTTTCTGGACTCGAAAGTGGGACACATCACACAATACACAGGAGAGAGAGGCTGCGAATTTAGCCTGGCCCAGAACTCCACGTGACAGCCACACATTTGCTGGGTGACCTTGGGCGAGTTCATGACTTTCGAAAAACCTTTGCCTCAGTCTCCCCTTAACTCACTCTGCATCCCTTACAGGCATGATGTGAAGATTCAGTGGGGACGCCGTGAGAGGCACCCTCAACAGCTGCTCCCATGAGGCCCGCCTTGCCCGGCTGCCACGGTCCAGTCCCGTAGCATATCCTGAACTTGGGCTATTTTGTCGGGTGTCTCGACACAAAGGTCTGACGCTTTCATGGCTTTCTCCATTCCGAAATGCCTACCCCCATCCCGCAGGCCCTTTCTACTTCTGGCCTGCCAAGACTCCATAAACTTTATATAGTTTCCATAAATCCGATGGCCCCTTTTTTCCACCGCACCTATCACGTTGTAAAGGCACAGGAAACCAATTCTCTGGAAGGGTCTGGCCTTCTCACGCGGCGTTTGTGGGGCCCGGTGTGGGTTTACTGGGCAACAACAGGGTAATAACAATGCCGTAAAACCACCATCCCCGGCTCTGCAGACCTCGGGAGGAGAAGGGCCCGGAACACCAGGGGTAGGGACTGGAAGGGAGGCTCAGCTTTTGGGCTCAACTCTGCCTTCTCAAGCCCCAGGCAGGACTCTGGCCCCTGCTTTGCCCCAAACAGACAATGTGAAAATGAAAGGTGGGACATTCCTCTCTTTCCCAGGCCACCGGTGGCCATCGCAGGAGTTGGGAGCCACAGAGAGAGGGACACGGCTCGGGGGTCTCGAACGGATGCACTGACATTGCGGCCTTGTTTCCCTCAAACCTACAGCCCACGGGATATTTCCTCTATAGTATTTTTGCTCTTCCCCGCCCATGAGAAAGACCTGCTGGCTTTATCTGTTTATAAAAATTGTACATTCATTATAAATCATTCATTAAAACCATACAGGAAAGCATAGAGAAATATATCTAAAATCTCTCGAAATCTCGTTATACCCCAATGTCAGCACTAATGACGTTTTACTGACCATCTTTCCAGAAGTACACACACACACACACACACACACACACACACACACACACACGTGCAGGGCTAATGCATGTAGACAGATACTACTGGGCACAATTTCAACACGATCAGTAAACAACTTGGTGTTTCTCAAAGCTGGGCCCACGGATCACGAACATTGAGAGCTTCGGGGGTAGCAGTTAACATGCTACTCCTGGACCCCATCCATGACCTAATGACTTATCGTCTCTGGGACTAAGGCAATTTTAACCAGTTAGGCGGGTGACGACGGTGCACGGTTTGAGAACCCGGGTCTTAACTAAGAAGGGACAAAGGGCACAATTCCTTGGTCGTCTTTAAGCAGAGTAGAGAATGCAATGGGAATGGCAGCTGGCATAGAAGGAAGAGTGGACAGTCTGGAGCCAGCACACGGGCTCCACCACAGACCGTAGGACAGGGACACGAATGTGACTCCCAGGCTTGCCCCCATTACATGCGATATCACTGACTGGCACCGGGCAAGAAAAAGTCATTTCTTTGCCTTCTTTGTCCAAAGGGCTCTTCCTGATAATGCCTTTAGTCATTGGATTCATACAGTTGGGAGGCCTCTGGCCCTCCCGAGATGAATCGGCGTTCGCCTAGGAGGGCTGAAGTCCCCCAGGGGAATTATCCTGTGCTGTCCATCCAGGTGGCTCAGTGGGGAGCATTCGCTTCCAGCTTCAGAGGCACCACCTAGGCGGGAGAAGGGAGGCCAATGGGGCAGCCTCATCTGTGGCTCCATGTCTTTGTGCTCATTCCTCTAAGCCACCCGCACAGGAGGCCGAGGGGCACCTGGGGGGCTGGTGTAGACCCCCAGGCAGCCCACCTGAACTTGTCACCTAGACGAGGACTCCAGGAAGCGATAGCATTGCTTGGGGACAAAAAGCTCACTTCTACTCTGCCCCCAAAGCTGATGTACAGGAGGAGAGGTGAAACTTAGGGTGC